AAAGTATTTCAAATAAATTCTTAAATGTCAATTGTCTCTCCCACCCACTTCAATACCTATATTCTTTTTTTTTTTTAAAGATTTTATTTATTTATTTGAGACAGAGAGAATGAGATACAGAGAGCATGAGAGGGAGGAGGGTCAGAGGGAGAAGCAGACTCCCTGCCGAGCAGGGAGCCCGATGCGGGACTCGATCCCGGGACTCCAGAATCATGACCTGAGCCGAAGGCAGTCGCTTAACCAACTGAGCCACCCAGGCGCCCCTATATTCTTTTTTTTTTTTAAGATTTTATTTATTTTTGCGAGAGAGAGACAGAGAGAGAGAGAGAGTGCATGAGCAGGGAAGAGAGGCAGAGGGAGAAGCAGGCTCCCCACTGAGAAGGGAGCCCGATGCAGGGCTCTATCCTAGAACCCTGGGATCATGACCTGAGGCAAAGGCAGACGCTTAACCGACCAAGCCACGCAGGTGCCCTCATACCTACATTTTTGATGAAAAAAAAAAAAAAAGCAAAATCGTTTTCGAATAACTTTGGTTCAATTATACTAAATTTCAATTTAGCTTCAAATTTCATTAAAAATAAGAGATAATGAAGCCACATATAAAAAATGAGAACTAGGCAAAGTAGTACTTTTGGGTAAATTTATAGCCATAAATGCATTTATTAGACAGCAAAAAAAAATTATTATTCAACTCAAGAAACTAGGAAATTAACTCCCCTCCAAAAATGTAATTAGTAAAGATAATATAGGAAGGTAATGAACTAAAAAGGAGCTCATCCCCAAAGCAAAAATTTTGCTCTTTTTAAAGGCACTCACACACGCACACACACATACCCCACAAGACTAAACTTTAGTGATTTCAATTTTAGGAAAGATAAATGGGCGCTAAGTATGAATATACATGTGCTTAGAAATGTTTATACAAATATATGAGACTTATGGCTAAGGACATAGCCTAATAACATATGTCTGTCAATTCTCCCTCCCTGATTCCCCAATAAAGTGGTAGAAAAGAAAGAAAAGGCTAAAAGAACACACAAATAAAGAGAATAGGAAGAGGCCATTAGAACAGACTTTACATATTTGAAAGTTGAGAGCAGATGGAAGAGTGGAGATTGCTAGAGCAGAGCAAACCAGAGCCCAGAGTGCAGAGAGCAGATCTGTTCTCCAAAGGAGCTAATCTGCTCCATATTTATGGTTCCCAGATGCCAGTGTGCACCGGAATTGCCCGGCATGCTTGCTAAAACAGATTGCTGGACCCCATCCCCACAGTTTCTGGTTCAGTAGGTCTGGGGTAGAGCCTGAGAATTTGCATTCCCACTAAGTTCTCAGCTAATGCTGATGTTGTTGGTTTAGGGACCACATCAGGGAACTGCTGATCTGAATAATAATTTAGGATAGGCTCAGGACTTTGAATCATCAGGTATAATGGAAGGCAAGAATGAGACATGGACCAGAAAACAGGCTGCTTACCAAAAGTTTGTGTGCAGAACGGTTGTCCAGTCTGCTCTTCAGACACGTGCAGATGCCCTACAGCCGGTTATCTGTCCTCAAGCAAGAAATCAGATGATTTTTTGGTTGGAGCCTTAATGAAAATGCTTGGTGGGAATTTGTATCATTTTAATTTCTTGCGATGGTAATGTACTTGCGCAATTAAAAACTAGGTATAGATTCTACACAGTGGTGGGATTACATTCCTGTCTCAATCTAAAGGGTCTTGGTCCTCAAGAAAGAGGCTTTCAAAAAATGTGCTCTTTTTGTCTCCAGAAAAAAAAAAATTGAAAGAAAAGAAAGTATCTTCACTCACACAGAGAGTTCATTTCTCTATTCTGTCAAGAATCAGATTAGAGCATGCACATATAGGAATGATGCACCTCTTAATATCCATATTTATAATGAAAACTTTTGCTAGCAAAGACTAATGTAACTGCTATATTTGTAACTGTTTGTAATGTGTCGCAGAGCCCTGATTTTCTCACTAAGGTTGCATTATTTAGTGCCAGACAAGAAAGCTACAATTCATGAGACAATAATCATTTTCTCACTAAAAAATGAATGAGCACTTGTATATATGCCTGCTGGTTTATTATTTAAAAACAGTTCAAGTCAAATCTTTATACCTTCAAATTCTATTTTTCTTTCTAAAAATCCTATAACTTAACAAATGTTACTTTAAAAATTCAAGAGTCCAAAATCAGATCCACTCTAAACTGTATCCACCTTCGCTTTACTTGTGTGAACTTCAGTGTCTATTTCAAATTTCAACTGAAACCAATGTATATTTCAAAGCAAGCCCCAGGGAAGACTTTTGCTGTGGTCCTCAGTTGTATGGCACCCTAACAGATCATGTTCATTGCTACACAAGTTGACATCCAGCAGAGCTATTTTCCTTCCAATTCTTTCCATCCCAAGAATTTGTGACTAGATCCATTTGTAGCTCAAGCTTTCATGATTTTCCCATATAACTGTCAGCCCATTGCCAGCAGGCATGCCAAGACACTGTGTTACCAAAGTATCATAACTGAGGTAGCCGGGGTCTAGTCTTCGCTGCCTCACTTGGCTAGTTGACTCCTGTAAGGGCCCAAAGGCTATTCAGGATCTAACTTAGGTCAATATAGGCTTACAATTAAATACATTGCAGGATAGTAGCAAAGTGCTATTTAAGTTATTTGGACCACAGAACAATTCCCAACTTTGAAAAATGGCTTCTAAGTTTTAGGGAGGAAAATATTTTTCAGGGTAATAAGAAAAAGAAATACAAAATTTAAATGGGTTAGCAACCAATTCCCACCTTGCTACTTTGTTTTTTTGTTTTTTCAATTATTTTTTTTTTTACTCTTTACATGAAAAAATCTCTATACTTACCAATTCTTTAGAAAATTCTTCCTCACCTGTTCTATAGCTCGGCTTCCCACTCTCTCTTCTTTCCCAGGCACTGCTGTGTTCTCTGGCCCCATCTCGCTCCTCATGGACCTGGATAGATAGCATCGCTCAAAGAGTTACTATGGTTCCCTGAGCCCTTCACCTCCTTGGCTGGTTATAGGGAGAATTGAACATATTTGTTGTGAAATACTTCCAGGGAAAGCATATTTATCTCTTTAGAAGATATTTTAAGGAAGAGATTAAAATGGTAGTGGTCATTTAATGTTTCATTGGAAACCTACTTTGTATTACATCATATGACACAGAAGATTACCACCCCAATATGTCCAATTTTACCTGTCTTCTGACCAAGTTTCCAGCTTCCTGATGAACATCCCTCCCCTCCCTGGTCTTACAGACATTTCAGATTTGACATTTCCAGAATTTAAATGGCCATCATTCCTAATTATATACAGCTTGCTCTTTTTTTAAAGAAAAATCCAAATGCCGTGTTACCAATCACATGTTTTTTGCATTCGGTACACAGTTTTGCCCTTACTAAGTATACATATTTGTTGAATTAAACAGAAGGTAAAAATGTTTTCTACCTAAAACTTGTAACTAATGGTATTGCCCATAGCAACATGGGGGTGGGGAAAGGCGTATAGAGAGTTGCCAGAGGTGTAAATAACGTACTTTCTAGCTAAGGGACATGAAAGATCTGTCTTTTCATTTTTTTTTCTTTCAATATGTTCAAACTTATTTTTTTTGTCACTCATAACTCAAAAACAGTTTAATGGAAAAACTTCAAGTGTTATATATATATTAGTCCTTGATGAGGACTACAATGTAAGAATAATTTTACCAACATGGAATTTAAAGATTTTTTATTCATTGAAGGTTAATTTTTCTTTTCATGAGAAAGCACCAGGAAGTCCCTACAGACAAAATAATTTCCACCAGGCATCTGGCAATAGTATCACTAATCTCAGGTTTCATTTTGAAAAATAAAATGCCTTGTCTTTTCTTTGGAAGGACACAGTCTTTGCCATAAAATGGTTTCCTGTGGGTCTACGTTTGTCATATTTACTTCTATAAAGTGTCAGGCTATCCCACGGGTTCTATTTTCATTTGCTCCATATAGTTTGACTTCATCTTCGCTTGTAGATCTTTCCAGTAGAAGTCAGCAGAATGTCCCTGTCTGTAGAAATGTGTGTTTACCAAAGGGAAGGATTGGGCCAAATGAAAATGAGGAAGGTGATTCGCATCAGCTCCCCAGATATCCTCCAAGTAAGACTAGCGCCTGTTCAGGGAGCCAGAAGTATTTTTCCTAAACTTTTCCATTCAGGTTACATCTCTTCACCTCAGCGATTGAGTGAGCAGGAAACTTCAGGCCTTCCCTCACGTTGTCTGTTCTATGAATGAGTGTGGTCTAGAGATAACTTTTAAAATGCTTTCTCCAAAGAGGCATTGGGTCTAAAGGAGACCACCAAGTCCTGGGCAGCAAGTAGGAAGGAAAACTGAAGTCATTGCTTTTTGGGCAAGTGCTTTCTCTTCCCACACATGCCGCCGATTGCTTAATGCTCCCTATGAAGGCTATGGCCATAAAGTTCCTTCCAGAAGGTCCCTTTGAGGAAACAGAATAAACCACAGCCTGCCCATAATGGAAGGCTAGCAGGCTGCATTATCCTGTAGGGATGAAGGACCTTTGGCTCCAAAAAGTCTCAGGTTTTTTTTCAGCTTGATTTGTAGAACTGCTGAACCATCATCTGTAGGAAGCAGGAGATAATAATAAACAGGTTAAGGAATCATTAAGGCAAACCTCACTCCTTGATGACGTTTCCTCCACATTCCTTTTATTAAATGCTTTTAAAGCTTGCTGCCCAAATAGGTTTACAATGCATTAAAACTCCTGCTGAAAGGATCAGTCTCATATAATACGGAAAAAGATGAGGAGCCATGAAATACTGCATTGAGCTTATTGGCTTAGATATGGAATAAACGTCATCTTTGTGGTTCCCACTGCCATTATAAACTCTTCTTGCGGTACGCAGTTCTTACCACAGTCGATGCAGCTAGCAGACAAGATGTGAACAATTAAGCTATATTACAATTGAAAGGTGGTTTTTCCTTCCCAGGGAAGCATACCTTTCCATCGCGCTATAATGGTATGAAGACCTTCATCAGCTGGGATGCGCTGTTTCGTCTGGACTATCAACTGTGAGCATTTCTATTAGCATCAGTTAATCCATGACTCCCTTCTTGTGTTGCTATTTGGGTTTCTTCCAGAGGGTGAACTGATGCTATGGAGTTTAGCTGCATTAGCTAGTCATCATGGAAAAGGATTCCAAATAGGTTCTGTCATATGTGCTGCTGGTGGGGGTTGTGGATTGGTTGACTGTTCACTCCTAGCATTTTTGCACCCCGAATGTGACCAGGGAGTAGCCAAAAGTTGGTGAAAGAAGGGGAAAAAAAGGTTGTTGACAGCACAGCAGTAATAGAATCTTGAAGCCCCAGTTGGGGAATTGCAGGGGGCTTGAGGAACAGCAAGGCTGAAGAGGTCAAGAAGCAATGAACCTTAAAACAGCTTTAAAAGGAAACAGATGAAAAGAATGAAGAATTCACCAGGACACACATAGGCCTAAAAGCAGACACAGAGGAATCCTAGCAATACTAACAAAAAACATGAACTGCTGCTAGAGGAGGAGGCAATTCAACCTGGCTGTGGACATTTGGGAAGGAATACATTTTCATAGGCAGCCAGGTTCGGAAAGTCCAACATTCTATGATCTATATTTCACTCAATGAACATGAACTTGGGTAAATAGATGAACAAGAACTGAACATTGTTCAGTTTTATAAAAAAAATAATAAAAGTTAAACATCTCTGAAAGAAACAACTCTGATTTCTGAACTGCTTTCCATCACAGGCTCCCCTTAGTTGTTCTTAGTGCCCCTTATGGGGGACACATTTATTTCTTCTCCCCCACTCCCCTTTTTAAAAAATACATTGCAGACTTCAGTTTGCAGATATACATTTTCATGAGTTTTGTGTCTGTAATAGGCTGTGGTCTAGCCTACTCTGGGCCTAGCATTGCAATAAAAACCACAAGACATTAGTGACACAAAATTGTGTCATTGTCATGTAGACCAACATTGCTTTATATAGTAGTAGATAAACTCCTGAATTTATGATGTGGCCCCTCTCCTTTTCTAATGCAGGAATGGAAGCAGACTAGTGACAGGGACTCCTTTGATGCAGTAGGTTTCTCATCCTGCCCTCTCTTTGAAAACAAAACTTAGGAAGTGCCTTTTCTGACAAACTTGGCAGGAACAGGGAAGCCGTATGTATACTCTTGTGTCTTCACCTCATATATTTTGTGTTTTATTTGTTTACTGGTTCAAGAGGAGATTGAAATGAAGGTCACCATGAACTACATTTTAGTCATCATTCTTGGCAGTCTTTAAACTTAAATCAGACCTTCTGGTCTAGCCTCATTCTATACTGAAAGTGGAATTGGCTTATAATTGTTGTTTCTTATACTGTTCTTTTCTGATTTTGACTCAAATTTATAGTAATCTTATAAAATTACTTGAGATGATTTTCTTCCTTTTTCTTTTTTGGACGGTTGGTATAAATTGCCAAGAGAATTACTTGTTCTTGTTCTTTTTTTAAGATTTATTTATTTGCTTTAGGGAGAGAAAGAGAGAGAGTAGGGGGAGAGGCAGAGGGAGAGAAGTAGAGAGAATCTCAAGCTGACTCCCCACTGAGCACAGAGCCCCACACAACCTTGAGATCATGACCTGAGCCAAAATCAAGAGCTGGATGCTTAACCGACTGAGCCACCCTGCACCCCAGAAGGTAGACTTTTTAAATCTACTGAATCAATTTCTTTAGTGATCACAGGTGTTCTGGGGATTCTTCTCTTTCTTATTTAAGTTAGTTTTGGTAAGTTCCATCTTCCTAGATGATAATTTCTGTGCCTCAATTTTCAAATTTATTAGCTTAAATTTATATTCAGACTGTTTACTTCTTTTTTCTATCCTCTTGAATGGGGAAAGATGCTATATTAGTTGGGATTCTTCTGTTTATAAATAATAAAAATATGACTTTTATGGAAGATGGAAATTTGCTCATCATCAGTTCTAGACTGATGACTAGGTCCAGGTGCTCAAAAGTGTTATCAGGTATTAAACTTACTTTTTTCAGGTATTTAAACTTACTTTTCAAAAGATTTAAAAATTTCTTGATTCTGCTTTTCTATGTAGGCTCCGTTCTACTGATTTTCCCTAAATGGAAAAGAAATGCATACCCCTTAAAAAAAAAAATAAAGAAAAAGAAATGCATACCCCTTGCTCCGGGCTTGTATTCTATATGCTTCACTGCCCCAGAAAAAAAAAAAAAAAAAGGAGACACTCTTTTTCCCAGCCTTTTCAGTAAAATCCTTCCCATGTGAATCACTTTGTTACTGATTAAGTCATTTGTCCATCCCTGAACCAGTTACTATGACCAGCCTGCAGGATAGATGGAGACATGCCAATCTGGCATTGGCCAGTCCTAGGAAAATGTGTTATGCTGCTCTCATAGGAAAAAAGAGTGGGTACTAATCAGGCTAAAGTAATAGATGTTCACTTCATACACTCAGCAGCCAGCAACATTTTTCCATCATTGACTTGCCTTGCATTCGTGCTTGACTAAAGTGATGTTTTAAAAAATGCAAGGCATCCTGGGAACCACCTGTTTGCCATAGGAGAATATATGGGAAACTGATGCTAGACTTTACTCCACTGAATTAATTTATTAAAGAAGTTAACATTGAGTTTGTGCAATGGAGATTGTGTGGGGTGCAAGTTGGAATAGCTCCTTTGGAAAGTGGGAGAAGTTAATGGAAGACACATGAACCATTTACAAGTGGTTTTAAGAGTCAGGATAAAATTGGGAACCATAGGTTTATATTTATTCCAGCTTAATGTGGTTTATGATTTCCCTCTCATTCTAAGTGAAGAAAATCAATGTTAGAATTGGGTCATGTTGGGCATCTTTATTATGGCTACCATGGAATGGGGAAGGGACAGGATGACTGAGGGAGAAAGAAAGAAAGTGCAGGACCAGTGTGGTGAAGAGAGCAGGAGGATACTCACTGATGGCAGAGTAGTCTCTGCCACATTACATGGCCACTGAACATTGCCATCCCCGGTACACCCCAAATACCCCCAGAAGGGATTGACACATCCCTTTAACACCATTTGTCTTCACACGGTTAGTGACAGATCATCACTCAGCTACCAAGACTTTTAAGGAACACAAAAGCATTTTCTCAGATGAGGCTCAGTGCACAGTGTTGGATAAATAGTCCCAGTTTATCCAATACATCATTTTAGTGACTTTTACAAGCTGTTGAAAGGGTGGAGGGTAACTTGCAGGTTTTTTCCTGAAATCCTTTTTGGGTTTGTGCAGTGAGAAATGAGAGGAAGAAAGAAAATGTGACAGGAAGGGGGTGATCAACTGGGAGAAGAGGGGAGGGGTCAAAGCTTGAAGTTCCATGAAGTCAGAGTGTTACAGTGGGAGGACATGGATAGGTATGGGGTGTTAGGAACCCATAGTCCGAGTGAAGAATTCAGATTTAATATTTTAAAGGTGGCTCAGTTTTGGATATGCAGAGTGATGCAAGAGGACCTGACAAAGAGCTACTAGAACAATCCGTGGTGACAGAATGGTCATCTTCTGGCTGCAGCTATCAAGGAGAATGTCATAAGGGAATGTGACATTGGAAAGAGTGTAGAAGGAAATTGGGGATTGTGATATGCAAACAAAAGTGGTTTCAGAGGCGAAACCTGCCTTAAAAGAATACTTCCCCCGCCCCGCCGAAGAATCATAAAGACCAACATTCTAGAGTTTCTTTTATCTAAAGATCCCAAGACACTATTATCATTAAATTTAAGTTTGTTCTTATCCTCTTCTACTCAGATTATATTGTTTAGAAATTTCCTTTCTGTGACAGATGCTCATCTTTATGAATATCTATTTGGGTCAGGCCCTGCAGGAGACCTAGTGAGACCAGGATGGCAGGGCTCAGAACTCTGCCCACAAACTGTCTGTCCACTGCTGTTGGAGACCAATGTACACACAGACCACAGTATGACGAGATGTACAAAAGGTCTAGAGGAAGCTTAAGAAAAGGAGTACAGGTTTTTTTCTATGAGAGGCATTTATAGAAGTGGTAGTAATTAATTTGTCTTAAAGAATAAAATAATAATAACAAGAACAGCAGATGTGTATGTGGTACTATGTGCTAGCCACTGTTATAAGTGCTTTCCATGTACAAACTCTAATCTACGGCAACCCTGTGAGGTAGGTTCTGTTATTATCCTTAATTTACAGAGGAGGAAACTGTTTAATCACAGGAAGTTTAAGTAACTCAATCAAGTCTATATACCTAGTAAGCATTGGTGTTTGGGTTCAGACCAAGGCCATCTGGATCTAGAGTCCATGCTCATGACCACTACCTCAGATAGGGTAAGTGGTTGTTTACTTAGAGACAAATACGGGAAGGCATGAGATTATGGAATGTTCTGGAAATCACAAGCAGTTCAGTATGGCTCGATGTAAATGTACATAATTGAAGGTGAAGAGGTGATTAGGACCAGCAATACAATCTGAGGGAGTTTAGATATTTGTCTGTTGACCATGGGGCTATATTGAAGAAGGTAAGGCCAGAGAGGCCCTTAGATTTTCCTGTTAGAAGAACTATTCTGGCCAAAGTATGGCAGAATTGGGAGGAGGCAAAACTCAGGACAAAAAGAACTGTATAGGGGTTTTTTTGACAGATATCAGATAAAAAGTGATGACGTGAACCAGGACATTTTCTGTAGGCAGTTTAGTTATTGGGCTGGTTTGGAAACATTCTTGCCATTTGTGCATTCAGATCAGTTCCCTGCACTGATCGTCCTTATCCTCTCTTCTTATTGTTGAGAATTACCTTTCTGAGATTTCCTTCCTCCTGGTTTGCAGGTTGCCATGGACACAGAAAGACAATGGTTGAGGGTGAGAGACGGGGAAAATCCAGGGTATTTCTTCTTTCTCAACATGCAGCATCTTCAGCAGAAGCTGCATCTTCTCCATGGCTCTGACTTCAGCAAGACCACCTCTTCCTCCATGACCCCAGCTCCTGCTGGGTGATCTCCACCATGTTAGGATTCTTGCTCAGTGGCCCAAGCTTT